AGATCCATGGCTTGAAATGACAAACAAAGGGAGAGTTTTGGGTGACGTTTCCTTAGCCTTCTCATTTCCAAGCTAAGCCTGCCTGGAATCTATTTGATCATTATGCACTGTAGCTTAAAAAGAAGAAAAAAACATGGCATTGCCAGGGAACTTCACAGCCGTGTATGACTTGTGTAAAATGTGGAGCGTTTTTGGACTCATTCCATTGAGAGAGCTTCTTCCTGGCTCACAGAGGCAATTCTTACAGTATTTATTCATTTTAAGTCTCCTTACATTCTGCTTCAGGACTTTTTAGAATTTTAAATGGATGAGAAGAAATCTGGCACTGTCCCCTCCTGATGAAAGCAAATGACCATATTTCTCTCTAGTTCTAAAAGAAGTAAGAGATACCTGAAGTCTAGGTGGACGAAATTTGTTAAAGTGACTGCCACTAGGTAGGTGCCGCCTTTTCCTGGATTAGATCCTACAAGAGGACTAGCAACATAGGAAACCTTTTTGGTTTTAACTCTGAGGAAAGCACAATAACACATCTAAATGATGTGTATTCGAAATAATGAAAGGATGGAGGTTGCTCCATGTCCTGTTGCTAATTTGTCCACTTCCTTGCAATGTGGTAGAAGATGGTACAGGAATGCTGAAAGCATAAGAACAGAGAATAACATAGTACGAGAGATTTTATTTAAGGAGTTGGTTTTCTGTATGATAATGCGAAATTAGCAAAGCAAAATGCAGGTGAAATCTAGAAAGTGTTGAAGAAATCTAGAGGCCTGAGAGATCATACAGTTCTGTGCACTGGATGTGTAGATCATTACAAAATACCTTCTCCATAGGTCAGACAAAGTTGGAGAAAGGAGGGGGACTCTTCATGTTTCACAGATGGGGGAAAAAGAAAAAATGGTGTATTGCACAAGGATAGCCTCTGTCAGTGCCAGGAATTGGATGGACTTTTAAAAAAGCCACAGAGTACAAAATGGGAACTTCTGATTGTCTTCGCAAAGAATTTGAACAGATCTGTTGAGTTGGCTTTCCTTCACAGAGCAGAACTCTTCCTGGTAATACATTACTTCTGCAGCACTTGCTCTTCTGTAATGCAGCAAATTTTTCTTCACCATCTTGCTCACCTGTGACTGTCCCCAAAGCAATGAACTCACATGTACCAAACGCAAGGAAAAGAATACAGTCTAGCATCTTGGTGCTCCTGTTTACTCTCAGGGTTGCTGTATTACTTCCCTTGAGAATACAAGGTATGTGAAAGCAGCACTAAAGTGCATCACCACTTGATGGCACCAAACAAATTTGAAAGACCATTTAAAATAAATACAGGGAAGCGACTCAGCTCTTCTGCAGTGTGAGAGGGCACTGATAGAAGTAAGTCATGCTTGCTGTATTAGTAGAGCACTCCATAAAGCACTCTCAGCATCTGATAAACTTTTCCATTGTTCAGTTTCTTTAACACAGCATGAGTACTTCAGCACTGTTGTAAATAATGAGCAATGGGGCCTTGTGTGGAAAATTAGTAAACTAAAAATGTATTCTTAGCCCAATGTGCTGTCCAGTTTGTAAGCAAGAGAGGGTATGCACTTGCTTGGCTGAAAATGTTCTGGTTGCCTTGTACTGAGGCTGTACACTCACTGTATCTCTTTTGTTACAGTAATTTTGCAAGTACAAAGCAATGGTTTAATGAAAATCAAGTTCCTGGACTGCATCATTTGAAGAATTTTCCAAAATAAGGAGAATTCTAGTACCATTGCACTGCATGCTGTTAGATTCACAATAACCTTGGTATTTCAGAAACTCCTTGTCCTACAGATATTCCTCCTCTTGTTCCCTATGGGGACAGATCTTCTCAGTTCAGTGACTGGAAGGATGACCGTATTGATTCTTTAGCCATTAACAGTAAAATGTACCAACAGGGAGCTCCCCTAATACTGTTATGGATGCTTCTCCTTGTCTTTTCTGAGCACATTATAAGAATCTTGTCCTTCTCAGGTTTTTATTAGTTCTCAGAAAAATGTGTTTCAGCAGCAGACATCTGCAAGATAACCTCCTGGTCGTTCCATTAAACACACAGCAATTGCTAAAGGCTTCCGTTATTTAATTCACTCTGAATCCTTCTGCTTTCTGTAGTTTTAGCTTCCTTCTGTCTTTTCATCTGTCCCTGAACATACTGCCTTGCTTAATTATATCATGTTTTGTGGAGAAAGAGAAGGAGGAAGATGTTTATGCTTGTCAAAATGACCAGCAATCTCGTCTTTTCCCTTATTCCCTTTCAACTAAAAATGCCTGCAACAACGTTTGGTTAGTTTGTCTAGGTTAGCTGTAAAAACAGACACTCTGTTGGCTTCTCTTCTCAGCTAGCAGAATAGAGACAGAGTGCATCCCAGCATTACATGGATCAGTAACAATTAAAGATTGCAGCATATCTGTTTCCCTTTCACTTCCAATTCTTCTACCACATCATGGATTAATGGAAGTGTGCAGTGTTGAGGGATCATGTACATGCATATGTATTGCATTCTTGATGACATGGACATGGAAGAATTTTGGCACCAGTTCCCTCTCTTCATTCCCAGGCAACTGTTTTGTAATTCATTATTAGAATTAGCTAGAAAATTATTTGGCTGAGAAGCTGTTTGCTTTTTATTTGGATAGTACCTACCACAGTGGAGACCTTATCTGAGCGTAAAGATCTTAGTAGTAACATACAGTAATTATATCTGATAGATCCTGTGGTTGTCCATACACATACTCTCAAATCAGTGCTAGCCCTACAAAGGTGATGCAAAGATTTTTTTTTGAAAGGGTTTTTAAAACATGCCTCTGAATTTTGTGCATATCCATTCCAGAAACTTGTGTTGATTGAGGATTAGTTTCATTCTGGTTTTAGACTGCTTCGCATTCCTTCTAGGCCTTTTACTGTCCAAGTGCAATTTGACTTTGAAACCAAGAAGCATTTCACCATTACAGTAGGCTGTAGCATTCCTAAGGTGCAGGAGGTATTGAGAGTGCTCTCTTTCATGGAGGTATACTCAAGAGAATAAATACAGCTCAGCAAAAAGGTGAATATTCAAACCCATTAAAACCTTTGATTTGTTGGTTTTGGTTTTTTTTTTAATGTTTGCTTCCCTCCTCTGTAACTAACTGGCAGGAAGGATGCCAAAGATTGTATCAAAAGAAAGGCCCAAGTCTTTAAGAACATCTTTGTAATGTTTTTATAAGCTAAGTCTATTGTTTTCCACTTGTGAAACAATATTAACCATTTAATGAAACAACTTTAAAAGATGCTGGCAGCTTTATTGCTGGGTGCCGATGTTGCACTCTGATCCATCTTTAATGTCTGCTGAAACAGTCCATAGCAATTAGATAATTGTTTCATCAAAATATGATTAAATCAAAATGCCTGTAATTGATGCTTCCTTTAAGCATTACTGAAACAGGACTTTAATGAAAGCAAACATACGTTCTTGCTGTTCTGAATATTTGAACTACAGAGGGAAGAAAATGGAAAGCAATTAGAGCAACAGAATAATGTTTGCAATTTAATATTCGAAGCATGCTTTTCTTTTGCTGTTAAATTCTAATTTAACGGGGAGATTTCATGTGCCGCTTACAAAACTGCATACTTAGACTTTATGTAGGTGTTTAGCTCTGTTTTTGGCACAGATGTCTTCTGCATTCTGAAGGCTCTCTAGGCTGCAGTACATTTCCAGGCTTGGTCATCTGTGTAGCCCACAGCCGTGGGATGCAATACGCGGAGAATCACTGAAGGAGAAAGAGGCTTGGTGGCCACGTTAATCTGATAAATGTTCTGGAAAGCATGGTCATTCAGATGGAAGAGCCAGCCCTGCCTCTAAATGGTGCTGCAGCTTGGCGTGAGGCTGCAAGCATCTGCACGTGAGCCCAGCTCAGTCATCGGCATTTTCTACAGGAAGTGGCAGTCACTTCTGTGCTGGGGATGAGCCCATTTTTCATGCATACAATTTGAATTGAGGAAGGTTGCATGCATTTCTCCACGCTGGGGTGTAAAATTCAGCCCAGGGCCAAGGCAGCAGCTCCTACCACTGGACTCTTGATTGGGTGTTGAGTCTTTGCCAAAGGTAAAGTTTCATGTGCTTTTTGTCACCACTTCTCAAAATACAGAACAAAGTGTATATGTCTGAATAAGGATAAAATAAACGAAGCTGAACTTAAAAGTCCTTAGGTTTACAAGTTGGTTGGGCGCTGATGTAGGTTGCCTGGGAAGACTGCTGAAGCCGTGGCATGAGGTGTCTCAGAACCAGTTGAAGAACCATCTGTTGGGAACACCTCAGCGGTGCAGGGGGGCAGGGCTTTCCTGCAGAGTTTCCCCTTGCGTGAGGCATGCCTCCCTGATGAAGCATTTCTAAGGCAAATGGAGCGTGCAGCAGCCCAGGGATGGCCTGCACTGAGGCACAATGAATTCTTAAGTGGTTGAAGCGAGGCGTGAGTTAGAGAGGGTGGGAGACACCAGATTATACAAGCTCTAAAGCGTCAGGCCCAGCTGTACTTTGATGTAATTCTGATACTTGCTGATATCATCAGTCATGGAGCAGTGTTGCTCTTTGATGAGACCAGCAACAATACAATGTTATACAACCAGAAGGACAAGATTAAAAAGCACTATGGTGTTTATAGCAATCTCAGTAGGCCTTCATAATTATACCAAGCTATTATTTTATGGTATTCATCTTTTTAGGGGAAAGCAGAAGGCTTTCTGGAAAGTGAAAAGTTTAAAATATTACGCGTTTGTGAGAAGGTCAGCTTCCCCTTTGTACACGCTGTTAAAGCATATCAGAGTTTTGTTTCCCTTACTTGAAAGGGCTAGTTGGACCTCTTTGGAGAGCAATGACTGACTGCAAAGTTAGACAGATTTAAGATCATGAAAAGTGTGTGTTCTGAAACTCCTAGTTTGTTGATTACAGAATTTGTTTCTGTGATTACCAAGAGTTATATTATCACCTGGACCACCTATCATTCTTCAGGTTTCGGCATAGTCCAAATTGCTGGTACTTGAGAGACTGGACCATCCACAGCTGGATCAGACAGTGCTTAAAATACGGTGCATCAGACAAAGCCTTATACACATTAAAAAACAAGGTAAGTTTTTACAAGGAAAAGCCATGAATGTATTTGATCAGCTTTTTGAGACAAGTGTGGCTTACCTGGAATTCCTATTGCAGACAGGTCGTGTAGACTGTGGTTTTAAGTTCAGGTATTTCTTTCTCAAGACAAAAATCAATGTTGCACCTGAATTTTAGCTAAAGCTCTTTACAGCTTTTATTTCCTCTTCTGTCCCAGGAAGTTTTTTGTTTTTGAATAGTGTTGGTGTCCAAAGCATGCTAGGTGCAGGAGAGGCATAAAAACCTGATAGGCAATGCCCCTCACAGTCCTAAAGGCTCAGATAAAATGCCAAAACAAATCCAATATATCAAAAGTTAGAAGGCCTACATCACAGGAGCTGTGCTAATCTCCTTGTGTTGGTTGACTAACTGTCACATTGCAGCAGTTTTCAATGCTGTGGTTCTGGTCTTTCTGATACCTGCAGCACTGTGTTTGGGAAGATTTGAACATCAGATTTTCGCACTGATATTTTTTTCCTCCTTCAGGTTCAGTATGGAATTTTCCCAGATAATTTTGCATTCAATATTTTGTTGGATTGCTTTATAAAGCAGAAGAAATATGAGGGTAAGAAGACATGTACCAATTTTGCATCCTTAGTTGTATGCTGTTAGATTCTGCAGAGCCTTTCTTTGAATTAAAAACATTTAGCCATATGTTCTCTGAAGTCACCCTAAAAACATGCCTTCTTCATTTAAACTGCTCTTCTGCATGTTTATATCTCATTTCTGTTGGGTTTTTATTCATTATATAATTTTGAAACACGTGCAGTTCACAGTTTTTACTGTTACAAATCCCATGCCACATGTAAACCAACTTCTCCAGTCTTTACAAGTCTGACTTACATGCTAACAACATCATAGGAGTAATTACTGACAATTTGAGTGTTATAAGAATCAAAATGCATGTTGGTAGAGTTCATATTACCTACATTTAGCTATTCAAAACACTACCTATCTAAACTGTTTGTCTAGACTTTCTGTCTTTCACTGGAGAGAGCCAGCTATGCTGAATTGCCATGTTGAGGTTGCCTGTCTTTCACTAGGGACTGTTATAAGTGTTGAGGTGAATAATTCTCTCATGTTTGATGACAAATATTTAAGATTTTAATTTCACTGCAGGTTTTCTGGTAATGTAGAGAGGGAGTGAGCTTTTCTTTGCATAAGCCTCTTGTGAAACAAATAACTGAAAAGGACAACAGAATTGCAGGACTTGTCTGTAGCTTTTATCATGGATGTTTTGCTAAATGGCAAATTAATAACATCTATTTATTTTATTTGGAGAGCCGCCCCATCTGTGAATTCCCCTTTATTCCATCCATATTTCTTTTCTGTGGCAGGCTCAAGGCCTTTTGTTTAACAAACTGTCCTTCCTGACAGGGAATGTCACTGAAACTCCCTGTGGAGCTCCTCCAGAGCACTGTTTGCTGTTTGCTGAATACAGTGAGTGCTGTGGGTGATCTGTGACAACATTTCTGCTCTATTGTACTCTCCTGTCACCTTAAGGGCAGTGAATTTAAGCCAGTCTTCTGTTGTTTGTAATCTAAACACAAGAACAAAGAAGTAGTTTTTAGAGATTTAAAAAAATATGTTAATGATTCAAGGGCTGAGCAAAGAAGAGCCAATTGAAGAGTGTAGAGCTGAGTTTGGAAAACCTCTTTGCTGTCCTCTCATGCTATTAAATCCATTCTTCCTTCTTGCAGTGTGTTTGAATAACCTAAGCAAGTAAAACTAATTCTATAGTACTAGTCACAGGAAATCTTTAACTTTCTAACTACTTCAAAACACGTTCTAGCAATAAAGTATTAGTGAACATGAGTGGGTGCGACAGGGAGTTGTGTAAATTTGCACTTGCTGATAATGTATTGTTTTCCTCCATAGATGCTATGTCAGTAGTAACAGAGATCATGCTGCAAGAAAGTTTTGATGAATTCTCAACACAGCTCCTTTCTCTCTATGTTTTATACCAGTATCTGGCAACCAAGTCTGAACGTACGGTAAGCTGACCACACTCAAAATGATACACAAAGTCTCCATTTCTAACTGTTGTGGTGCAGTCAGTTGGACATTCAATCCTGAATATGTAGTATTTCCGCTAAGTTTATCTGGAAAAAATAAATACTCCTTTTTTTTTTTTTTCTCATTGTTTTTATAACTGCAGAAGAAATTAAAAAAAAAGAAACAATAAAATAGGAAGGCCATCAAATAAATTGTCACCACTTTTGCTGCTCCCTCTGAAAGGGAAGATGTGTTGGGATTTTCAGATGTAATGTATGCCTATTGGAAGGTTATGAAATGACATTTCAGTTCAGTTCAAAGAGGGATCTATCCGTTAACACAAAAAAAATAGCGTCACCTATTGTGTAGGACTCTGTTAAGGTGAGTATTGCTCACCATTAGAGCTTGGTAATGATGTTGTTGCAGTCTTATAAAGCATTTTCACTAGAGTTTTTACTGTCCCATTTGGCTTTGGATGTATTGTTTCTAGTATGTATTTGTTTTAAAACTAAATCCATTATATCTTTCCTGTCTTCAAGGATTAGGGGTTCCTCATTCACATCTAGCTTGCTTAAGACCAACATGACAGTTCAGGCTCTTGGAAGTGGCATTATTCTACCTTTGCAGAAGGTGCTCAGTTAGGTATCGGCAAAGGGCTCTGCCCATGTCCATCATTTTAGGCAGCTATTTTTCATGTAGTTTGGCACAAACCTTCAATATCATGTTGTTATCCATAAGGAACATGCTTGAAGCCTCCATTTGTCTTACATGAAGCATCTTCCTAAATACACATTACAGATGCCTTAATGTTTTACTCCGTTGGGTTGTAATTTCAGTTTTCACTATAGAAAACAGATGTGCATTTGCCCTGTTCTGTATTCTCCTTCATTCTCTAAAAGTCAAGTATGCTTGATCACTTGTATAGGAAGAGCAGAGGGACCAAAATTTTTTTTTTGCCATTGTGTTTGTGTATCCTCACTACAAAGCCAAGCACTTGTGTGTAGCGTTTCATGAAATCTGAATATGCAAGCAAGGGTAGTGTGGGCATATGATACATTTAAGGCAAGCATATTTATATAGCTGTGACTTATTTAATATGCATTTTGAAACAACTCCATCCAAAGACAGCAATAAGCCATATTTTTATATGTATACACCATACAGAGTACCATTCAACACCTTACAATGCTTAGTACGAATTTTCTGTGTTTGATTTAAGAAATTTTGATAGACAGAGCTATGAGATCTGCTCAGCTCCTCCTGAAGATCCCATTCCCTTTTTCCAAGGTGTGAGACAGGTCAGCCAGGGTCTTGTTGAAGACAGGCCCTTGGCCGCAGCTTAGGGTCCAGCAGCCTGATGAAATGTTTTTTTACATTTGAGAGCTGAATCTTGGGTAGTCTATGTTAGTATTTAATGTGTATAGCAGTGATGATGGAGAGCTTCCGTTTTTCTGCTGTTGTAAAGACCACTGAAAGCCTGACTGTTTTGGCTCTCCTCAGAAAATTTCCTCCTTGACTGCTGCAAACAATCAGTATGATTGCTACCTTCCACTGCAGAGGTGTTAATGTTAAGTTCTTGCAGTTCCTTCAGCTCTTGGAGCCAAGTGGGCTAGCTCCCAAAAGAACCTAAACTGCTAAAAGCCCTGTTTTTCCAGTTGCATCTGATTTTCCTGTAACATTCAGCTGGAGTGCTGAATTCTGCATGGAACAGCCCTATTTCCTTGTATCCTCTTTCTGGATCAAGCAAATACCTTGCCTGGCTGTCAGGTCATGATATTTTGTATCAGATGATAACATGCAAATACTCGTAGCACCCATAGGGAGACACAGAAAAATGCCGTACCTTGAAAATACATCTCTGAATAATGCATTAAACCAGAAGGTCGAACCTTTGTGCTTTTTAAGACTCAGTGTACCTCAGGGAATTTTTCAGAAGGCTTGTTCCTTTCACCAAGGATATTTGTTTCAGGTCGGAAGGTAATAAACACGACACTGAAGTACCCTGCCACAAAAACCATGTGTTAGGGTCAGACTTCCTCCAATCTATTGCCTTTTATAGCTTCCTTTTCCTCAATTTCTTAGCAATGGGAGTTGTTCAGCTCCTTTCACTTGCAGTAAAGAGACGTTTATCCTTGGTATTTGTGCTTCTCTGGTCTTGAAAAATGTACTGTACTATCCCATAGCAAAAAAATGTCACACTACTCTTGTGATTTTAATGTACTTACTGATTGGGTGCCCTTCTTTAGCCGTCACTGGTGGTCTGGCTCAGACAGACTTTTCTCTAGCTGGAGAGACAGCTGTGCTTTTAACCCTGGGCCATACAGTGGTCTTGGTGGGTTTCGTATGTTCTTTTCACAGTGCAGATTTTGGACTCAGAGCAGCCATTAGCAGCATATTCTTCTCAGCATTTTCATATTCTAGTGAGGGGTAGTGGAGCACGTATCTTACCACATACTTAAAAGTAAAGGCTGCTCTAGTAAGAAGCCATGTAATTTTTTTCCTTCATCAGTGTTAGCCTGAAACAAGTGGTAGAGTATAACAGGCAGAGCTTGTCCAATGTAAATTAGTATAACCCTCTGTCTTGAAGGAAACACACTGCTTGACTTCCATGCAAAATCTCAGCCACTCACATTTCACTCTTCTGGAAAGAGAGGAGTTCCTCAGTATAATGTGTACTCCTCAGTATAATATGTACTATCCCCCAATATATACATACTAACTGTGAGCACTAGACATGTTTAATGATTCTTTACTTTATTGCTAAGACATCTGATGAAAGCCACGTGTGCTGTCTTTGCTGCCATTTTATGTTTGTCAAAGAACACTTACTTAGTTTACATTACTTGCAGTGGGAAGAGGAGAGAAATCTTGGTGCATCGCTAGTGCTTACCAGTCTAAAGCAAACAAGCACTGTCGGTTTTAGCTCCCAGCTATATGGCTATGCATTTCTTGGTAAGTTTTACCTCCCTCACAGTCATGTTTTCGCACAGTCATCTTCAGTGGCTGAATTACATTGGCATCTTTGCTTTATTAAAATGTAATCAAGGAGAAGGGTAAGGGAAAAAAAGGCAGAAATAATGGAAGGAACAATTTCAGAGTTAAGACTGAATCTGTTTTGTAAACCTGGAGGGTAGTACTGATTTGAATGGTTTTGCCTTTATCAGACAGGTTCGGAACCTGCTTTAAGGCTCCTGATAGGTTTGGATTGGCAGCTGAAAGAAGACCTTCTTAAAAAACAGTAGGGTTGGTTTGTTTGTGGACCAAAAAATTAAAAAAAACCCACCCAAAAGTACAGAGTTCCATAACACAGATTTAAGGTTATGGACAATGCACTCTTTTTCTAGTTAGTGAACTTCTTAAAATAATCCTTAAACCTCAAGAAGTTCAGAGAGCACAGCCTGAAAAACACTATGTTTAGAAGACTTACTACTCACTGTAAAGTTAATGTTTCTGTTGCGAACAGCAGATAGTAGTGCCTTTATCCTGTATCTGTTCAGGAGTCTTCACTGCTAATGATATACTATATTATTAAAGAGTAGTTAGATCAGAGTGTATCCAGAATTGGAGGGAAGGGGAATGAGGTAAGCAATTCTTTAATTTTCTCTAACCTTTAGAGCAATGTAGTGCAGATGGGTTTTATCCTTCTCTACAAAATGCTTGTTTACTTGAAAGTAATTAATGAATTGAAAATTTATGATTATGCAGTTGTTCCATTATGGCATTATATTTTATTCTAGAATTTATTGAGGGTAATAAAAAGTGGACTTGTTCCTAAAATGTAGCCTCAAAATATGGTGTGTAGTGGCAGAGTTAGGATGCTGACTCGGATTTTATCACGATTATAAGACAAAAAACTCATTTTCAGTCAAAAAGGGGGATAAATGTGAAAATGGATTTGAAAACAGGATTTTCCATAGAGCTGTAGTTTGTTATCCAGTGGAGATGCTGGTACAAACAAGGACTTTGCTGTCCAGTTGGCATTTAGTTTAGAGTGTTTTTTATGTCATATAGATTGTTTGAGTAGTGGCTGGATTTCATGCTCTTGTCTGTGAGTTGTAGTACTTTCTTCATGACATTGACATTTAGTAGATCAAAACCTATTTACTGGTATGTCACATATCCACAGTCTTGCGAACAGTAATGGAACCAACCTCTAAGAGAGTGAAAGATGTCTACAGGCACAGAGTGGCCTCAAGCACCTCAGCTACTTTAATTTAGCTATAGTTCATAAGCTTTTTCTGTGCACTTACTACCTTACTTTTCCTCAACTGTTCTCTTCCACGCAAAGAAGAGTAAGGTGTGTTACTCTAAGGAACCTCCAGCAGAAATAGGGGTACTAAGCTGTATAGTTAACCAGAGCATGTGCTGTAAATACTGTACAGGCTGGCCTTGCCACATGTGTGAGTAGACCCTGAAGGCCATGGAGGTGGGTCCAGAGCCTCAGATTTAGTGCACACATGTTGCACAGTCAGTCCCTGAAGACTAGGGAGACATTTGTCACGGAGATCTTCAGACATCCTGCTCAGAGCTGCTGTTACAACTGCCAGACAACCAGAAAACCTGACCACTTTTCCTCTTTTCCATCTGAACAAAATTTTTAGACAAGTGGAGAGGGGGAATGGGGAGGAACCAGAAACAAACGTCTAATAGCTGCAACGTTGGGCAAAAAGAAGGCACCTTAATAAAATAAGGTAATAGCAGTTCTGTAAGAGCAGCTTTTTAGAAAAGGGTGTTGTTTTTAACCTCAGAAATGAAAACATTTGCTGTCACTTCTAAAAAACAGAGCCAACTTGTACAGATTCTGTTAAGACTCAAGTGTTGAAGTACTAACGCTGAAGTATTTTTTTATCACAGGGAAAGTGGAATTGAATGAAGGGCTAAGAGCTGTATACAACCTAATGCCACTGATGTGGACACCCGGATACCTGAATAGAGCCTTGCAAGTGATGGAGAATGTGGCTTCATTGACAGGAGACAGCAAAATCTGCAAAGAAGCTGTAAGTGCGAATGCTATAACTTGCTGAACAGAGGGAATTTCATACAAACCAAATCCAGTAAAGCTTGTGAATTCTGTGCTTTGCTAACGAGAAGAGGCCCAGCAATACTTCTGAGGTCTTTGGAAGACAGGAGAAGTAGTAATGTTTTGAACAGAACGACTGCTTCAGTTGATGAGCCATTGATGATGTCTACTGTCATGTCCTTGGGAATGAGTGCCTGTTACTGCCACAAACCATTTAAGTATGTTTCCTAAGCCTTCCTCTCCCTATAGACACACCTGGGTCTGTGTCACAAGAAGCAGATCTGTGGGGATGGGAAGACACCTTTATTTCCCAAGCTTTTGAACTCACTCAGAGACATACTTCTTAACAGCGAGGATGAAATATCACAGCTTGTTCCTCTCCTGGCTAATTCCATGTATTCTGTGCCCTCTGAGATTATTGTCCTGAGTGATACTGGTCCAAAAACAGTACAGAGTAATTTCTGGAAGGGTAGTAGGGCCCTCAGCTGGGAAGAATGGATAAATTTGGACCATTTGTGAGGTCAGCACTGACTAACGGACTTGGGGCATCAGGCTGATCCTGGAATCAGACAGCTTAGGAGGCATAACTTAGGAAACCACCACCACATGGGTTGGAGCATAGGAACAGCACTGAGGTCTCACCTCTTCTTCTTATGTCTCTGGTGATGGGAATCTCCCTTTTGCTAGCATCCCTACTAGGCTTGCAGTCTCTACCTTTCCTTTCACAAACAAAGGCCAGGGCACTGCTCAGCAAGTTCTCCTATCTGTTGCTTCATGCTCGGAAGCAGCTCTGTGTAATACTGGACATTGCAAGGAAGTAAGTGTCACATCTGCAACTTCCACCATTTTGAGTTACCGCTTCGGATGTATGGTTTTGGGGATGTCTTCCTTACTCCAAGTCTGAAGAACTCAGCCTAATACACTTGTGATTTTTTTCTGCTTACAAACCCTAGACAAATTAAGGAACTCCTTGGCTTGCTCTGGGTTGTCCGTGAACATCCTAGTATGAAACAAGGCTGCATTTGTCTGTGGTATAACAGGTCCATAGAAGATCCCATCCTTCTGTGTACTGATATTGTAAAAATAGTAAACACTAGTAATATCTAACAATGCTTTCTTCACTGAGACACTTTTCATTTTGTTCAGTAAACAACTAAGAACTTATAAAATAAGGTTGTAACTGATTACTTAGTAATCCTGCAAGTGTCTCTCCACAAATCCAGTAGTAGAGCCCAAAAAGCAATGACCATGAGAGCCACACAGAAACTTCCCTGAAGAGATACTTGGCCTCATTGGGATTTTAGGTAGCAGTATATAAACAATAGTGCAAGTGACGTAAGTTTCACCAAGCTGAAGATCAAGAGCAGGCCTGGATGGCTTGTTACTATAAAAGTAATTTTTCTCTAATGCATTATTTGTGACCCCAAATTGTAGAAAAACAAGGAGAATGTGTTTGTCCATATCCTTCTCTGGTGTAAAGTAATTACAGTGTATTGTTATGCATCATCTGGCCTTTTCTACCTAAATGCTCATTAAGATTTTAATATTAAAATCCATACAAGATATTTTTAACTACTATTTCCAGCTCAAATGCAGTATTCCTAAGGGTGGAGAGTACTGACCAGGTCAATATTGGGGTCAGTCAACTTCCACTGAATTCAGCAGCAGATATGATGGAAAAAACCTGAAGTGTCATGAACCCTTTTTTCTTCTAGTATACTGGACCTTTCTCAGGCAGGACTAGGTTGACTATTATGTAACTCTCATAAATCCGTATCATAGCACTGAGAAGTACAGGTTGTATTAGAAATCATTGTCCTTGCATACCTGCACAATCACAGAGTTACTTGAGAAGGACACGGCCCTGGTTTTGCAAACTTGGTCCTTTTCCAAAATATAGTAATTTTTTTTGCTGAATAAATGTCATTATCTAAAAGGGAAGGTTTTGAATGAACTTTTTAAACTGTGCAGTTTTGATGTTAGCATTTTCAAGTGATTTGCCCAGTAATTATCAGTCACTGACTCTTCTTTCAGGCTTTAAGCTTCCACTCATTTCTGACTAGGAGAGTGTCTCTTTTCTCTCTGCCATTGCTATCTTAGCAACATAGTAGAAATAACTGTTGTGCTATATTGTGCTATATTGTTTAACTTTGAAAAAGCAAGACAAGTTTTGGTTTTGAATTTCAATTGTCTGATAAAGTCTCTAAATGACTCTATGTATTTCCAAGCACATAGTTATTTCATTGCTTATTTCATCCTGTTTCAGTACTGCTAATTTAAAGATTACATTTCAGTGTCAAGAATGTTACTTCAAATAAGCCTAATTTTTATTCCTTTAGCATTATATACTTATGCTAGGAAAACGAAACCATAAGTATCAAGATCCCTTTTGCTTGGAGAAGGCATCACAGATTCAAAGGTTACACATAGTTATTTCATCCTAGTGATAAATATTCAGAATTAGGATTAATGGAAGGATAACAACTCTTCACATTTCTAAAGCTGAACTTTAAAATGCAGGTAGCCTCATCCAATAGTTCCAGTTATGGAGATCATGTTATTTGCAAAACAGCAGCAGCATCCATATAATTCCAGCAGTTCTATCTTTTGCATCAATATTCCATACAGAAATACTTTACCTCCCATTGTGAAACTACTGCATTCTTTTGCTACAACTGCAGTAAGATTAGGAGAGAGTGGTACTCTTACTACCTTGAAAGACAAAAGCATGAAGAGAACAGAGGTATCGCAGATTAAAAATATACTTATACCAATAAATTATATGCCTATATTTCCATTTTTCCTGTTAAATTATCAAACTAATGATAGGAATGAATGTTCTTGTTGCTGAACAGGTGACTTCCCTGCTTCTTTCCACCAAAGAGGTACTTAGATGATCTGTTAGAGGTTATATTGCTCAAACATTCCGTAGCAATATCTTATTTAGATGTATCTGTGCTTGTGTATCATGCTTGTGCTATTATCACTGTGACTACCATTTAGCATTACTGTTTATGGCCAGATATCAGGCCAAGAGAAGACATTAGCTTAATGCCTGACAGGTCTGCAAATACCAGTGTAATATCTACAAAATACAAAATAAAAATCTGAGTCACGGGGAGTTTTACCGTTGATGGAGCAGGTGGAGTTGTTCTGTTGGAGGGATTTAGTGTTCGAACCTCAAAGGTCCCAAGTACAGCACAAAATTCTTCCAAGAGTAAGTCCTATTTTCTTTTAGAATTTGGTTTTCCTTTTTATCCTACACAGAAGTAATCACAAAATACGTTGTAACTCATAAAGTTGTTTGTAATCGGGACAGCAGTTTTACTCAGATTGTATGTCCAGACTGTTTATGCTAACAGTGACAAATGTGATTGTTCAGATTGATGCTCTGGAGACCATTTTGCAGTCTGTCTGTGAAGCAAAACCTGGTCCAGAATCAGCAGAAGAAGTCAAGAAATTAGAGCAGAAGCCACAGTGTGCAGAATCAGAAGAAACTGAGCAATCTAAAGCACCCGAGTACTACAGCCGATTCAAGGTAAGAGAGTTTAATTTAGCTCAATTTTCTAAGCTGTAGTAGATCTCCATAATATATACTAGAAAATATATATGCTGACTTATTATGGCTAGCAGACTAACACCCCATCAGTGCATCAGGAGTCCTACCTGGCATTTTTGAAACTGATGTCATCTTACATTTTCACTTCTTCCAACAGGAAGCAGCAGCCTACAAAGACATAAATGCTCAAGGCCACTTGTCTTTTGTCTGTCTGCTGGGATTTTATCTTCACTTTTCATACATCAAAATGTTAAATCCAGTCCTGTTCACAAAAGTTGTATGTCATTAGAAATCCATTATCTTACCTTATTTGGGCTCTTGCTCATTAAAATAAATTGTAATAGGCATGAGTCCATCCTGAATTTATTGTCCATTTGTGTATGTTATGATTATGTAGGAATGTTGCATCCTACAGTTTCAGTCGGGGGAGTTAAGTAAGGCTATGTTGCCTCCCATTTATCTTTAGGTTGTCACACTGTTGATAACAATATGAAACACAAGCAGTTGTTCATTAGGGCACAGCTAAATGAGTGCATTTTATTTGATCATCTCATATCTATATAACGAACTCATTTTATTTTATCATCTCTGATTTGTGCTGTGGTAAAAATCAAATATCCCAGGTTGAAACTAAGCCAGCTTATAGTTCAGGAGCAGTACTTTTTCCATAGCCCATCAATTTCCATTGTTGCTGTCATGACCTTGGACAGTTGTTCTAGATAAAGACCATTGTTCTTCTAAAGAAATTTCAAAAGTTAAAAGACTAGTATCTTGTGGTTTCACCTCACATACATACACTTCTCCTGTCTTTAACTTTTATTTACATAAATTATTTGCCACTAATCTTTAGCTATTAAGCTTGCTTTGTAGGCACTTAGAAATTTTTAATTAAAATGTTTGGGAATCAGTGAGTGCTCAGCATGTGATAATTAATGCCTGGATGAATTACAGTGAAGTAGGTAAACACAAGTGCCCTTTGAAGGAGGGAGTGAGACATTTTTATGAGTTTCTCATTGTCTGTCCTTTGTCTAGCCTTGAAGAAAATAATGCAGAGTGCTCAAAACAAGGCCTAAATGTCAAATTAGGGACAGGCTAGCGCCAAGAGGGTAGTTTTCTTCTCACCTCCACGTTTTCACAAGTTCCATAATTAATCTCAGTTCAGGCAGTCCCTGGTGTGGCAGTGAGTGCCCTGACTTTGAGCCAACAAATTACAGTCCTAATATTTAGCTCTAAGCTTTCGCCAGAAAAGTCTGAATATAAGAAAGACATAGGCCTCATCAGAAGTCTAGGCATCCAACAGTAATTTATATGTAAATAAGCCACAATTTCTGGTTGTCTGGATGAGAAAGAGAGCTCTCAAGACAGAATGCTGTTTCAGCTAAGCCTGAAAGACCTCTCAGACTCTTCTCTCAAATCCATTAGGCCAGCACCAGCCTTCCCAGCTGAACTCCTGGACACCTGCAAGCGTAGTTCACAGGGCAGAGAAGTTCAGTAGAAATCAGTACAAATCTGAGAGAAGGTGGCAGCTCTGAAGCAACCTGGTGATGTTGGCATTCACAGCTGCTGTCCCAGCACAGATCATCTGCCCCTTGTGTGATGTAATCCCAGGACAGGATTCTGCTGCTGAAAACACTTCGGTTGCACTTTGTCCATCCTTGCATTAGTCAGCACATCCCAGTCTTTCTCCTTGAGCTCAAAATCGATTGATTCTGTCTCCTGCTTGCCCAGTTCTCTTTCACAAGTCATATAACCTGGGTATGTGAGGAAAAGCATGTGGATTTGCTCCAGACCTACAGTTCCTGTCTAGAGCTGTAGCTTGTTCTGCATAGCTTTTGTACACACACTTGAACTCCATGTCTCATACCAGCCTTCAGAACAGCCATTTGTGGAAGTACCTGAAAAAGCCACGGGAGCCTAACAGATATGTGTGAGAGGCAGCATGTCCTTTAAGTCCACTAAAACAAACAGGACTTGAGGGCATTTGGCTCTTTACAGATAAAGCCTTTAGAGCTGTAATTTAGACTTTCTGTCTGACACTGTCATTCGTGTTGTATTTACCTGTTTTCAGATCCCGTATGGTGAGGCTTCCTACGCAGTACAGTGTTCCTCAGACAATTCCTTCCGTCAATGATCAGTGGACAAGCATTTCATCACATAAATGCTAGGAACACCCTCTCTAAAAGCAGGGCTTCTTCTCTAACTGTCTGTATGCAGAGCCCTGGAGACTGCTTATAAAAGTCTATGGTTTAGCCATTTAAGAATGTGCCCTTTTGTACCTGAAGGACATAGAGCTTGCTGCTTTCCTAAATTAGTTTCACTAATGTATCACAGCAGAGCAGGGAAGATTGCAGGACTTCAGCAGTACCAGTAAGTAATAGCTTAGGAGAGAAGTCCTGCTAGTTTCCAATTTGTTGCCTTTCTTTAGTTCCGTTTCATGCTGCTTAGGTTCAGTGCATAAACCCCTTTTTCAATACATCCTTGGTAGTGGTTAGTAGGGAGATTCTGAAGCATCTAAACCAGTTATGTTTAAACTGAGTATCTAATCTGTAAACATGAATATAGTTGTCAGGTTCATTCCCCAGGCCCAAGCTCTATGGTCTCGTTATTTCTCACCAGTACACTGTATACTTACTGACATCTCAAACCAAATAGAGAACCTAAATATTACTGAGCTTGGATTTAGTCCAGTAACTTCAAAGTTTTGTTCTCATCCTTTATCATAGAATAAAAAAACCCAGACAGCCAAATACCCAAGCCCCTCAGAGCTGCATGCCTAGCATTTTAAAGAGTCTTTAATCTGCTGTCTGTCCAGTTCAAACTTTGAAGGATCTGGCAAAACACAACAAAGCCAGCAGTTGTGTTGCTAAGGCAGAGAGAATTGGAGAGGCTTCAGAGGGGACATCATAGTTTCGGGCATAAGGACAAGGCAGACCTTCAAGACAGGAGCTGAGGCGCAGTGCCTTTGCAGATTATTGCCAGCGTGGGCTGGGGTAAGAGGAACACCGTGGGACAGCAGCATAGTGCATAAGCTTCCAGTCATATCTGGATATTTGCATAGCCCCAGAATTGCCATTTTGTTTGAAGGTGAATGATCCCCACATCTTCTTTCCATCATCCTGCAGTGCAAAACAACAGGCTTTATTCAAAGGGCCCAGGAAAGAAGCATGGCTGCACCTTTCTTTAGTATACATACTTTAAACATTTCTGCAAGTGCTGGGCTCAGTAAAATCTTGTCTTTAAAAGAAAATCAACAACATGTGTTGCTATCTAATGAGTGGGCAAGGGGTAAAGAATCTGCTGGTACCATGTCATTTTTCTCCCCCAGGAAACTCCTCCTTGGTTGTGAATCTACACTTTTAGGGCAATTAATCAGATAGTTAGTGAGCCATCAGGCTAAAGATTCCAGAAAGCCAGAAATAGTATCACTGGATGATTCATCATCTTAAGTGAATTAACATTTTTATGTTGCATGAAATCTAGATAAGTACAGCTCAAGAAGGATATACTGCACAGATTCTTACTGCAGCTCTGCTCTTAGTTTCAGTGTAGAATATCCCTGAAAAAATACCGCATGCTTTAGTGCTATTGTACAGTCTGTGTAAGCATACTCAAGCCTTAGATCACAGTAACCGTTAGGAAGAAAAATGGTGGGAGTTAGCATGCCTCTTAGTATGCAAGAGAGCTTTTAAAGTGGCGTGCATCTGTTGAGAGGGATGCTAATGCAGGCAGTGTGGAGCAAATCATTCAACCGGTTTTTGAGGTAAGACACAAAACCAAGGTGTTTAGTTTATATTTATTATAGCTGACTGGTCAGCTGATCTTTGTTACTACCAGATAACTGAACTTGGAAAAATAAAGAGAATGTCAATAGTTAATGAAAATGAAACATCACTGATCTAGTTCTATTGCTCTAAAAAGTTATTCTGTTGTCCCAAATATGGGTTCTTCCACCTGGTGTGCAGAGAGCCGAAAAACATGCAGAGCCGAGATACTTGCTTTTATTCCAGATCTGCGCAGAGCTGGGTGCTAGGTGGGTGCTGGGCTGTGGTAGGCCCACAAAGCTAGCAAGCCTCAGTTAACAGGCAGAAAATACTTATACACTTTGAGCAGCAGTTACCAGTATTTGTTAAAAGTTGGCTCCCTTCCCCTCGGTTCTCACAAGCCTGGTCTCCACTGAAAGTCACAGCGTCCTTCTTTTTTCCTAGGCATGCTCAGTGAGGAAGGGCCTTTTGTGAGGAGAGGGCTTTCCCCGCCTAGGGCCGGGCTTCTATTATGCATATTATATGTTAATTAGATGTTAATTAGGATAGTTCACTGAAAGTTGAGTAGCTGTGTTCCTTTTGTGATTATCTTGTTCCTTCCCTCACCTGTACCACCAAGCAATACCCCCAGCTTCATTCCTTGCATGCATCATCTTCAACAGATTCCCCCCTTTGAGACTTAGAGAAATAATCACTATTTCAAATAAGTCTCACTTAGATCTTTTCATTTTAAAGTCCCCATCCTTGGCTTCAGAATTTTCAAAAATTGCTCTCTGGTTTCTTCCCATTGCCATATGTCTTGTTGGAAATTTTTCTATCCTTCATAGGAAAGCTTTTAGGTCTGAGGAGTTTACTTTCCTCTGTGGTGAGCATGCCTACCTTGCATTAGAGTTATTTGTTTCATTATGAACCAAATCTTATAGTACGATATGATTATAAGCAATACACATGAACATGTTAGTGACAATAAGGTCGCAACAGGTTGTCACATGAGATTAAGAATGCTGGTTGCTGTGGGTGACCATCTGAGGAGGGCTTCCTGCGACAAGCGAGGGAAGACAAGCAGTCGACTCAATATGAGTGATAAAGCAAGCTTCAACTTTATTGCAAAACCCTACACATATTTATACACTGAATTCTACCTTATGCATACTTGTCTTACAATCATTGGCTTAGCTCTAAAGATTACATTATCATACTCCTCCTACTTGCGGTTAC